CAATGTATTAATTTTAGTTAGTTGGTTATGTATTTTTTAAATAAAAAAAAAAATTTTGAATTTACTTACTTATAGCCGGAGTTAGAGGCGGTCGGACACTTATGACCGCTACTGTAATAATTATTAATACACTTTTTATCAGTATATCATCCAGTTATCTTTCCATTATAATAATATTAAAGTACGAATAAATATTTCACTAGTTATATGGAGAGAATTTTATTACTTCGCTTATGATACAGACCTGTGACTTGTAGAAAAAATTAGATGAATGATTTTTTTATTTCACGCCTACTTTGCAAAAATATGTTTATACATCTCAATTTTTATCTCGAAAATATAATTGAAGATTGAACGTACCTCAAAATAATAGGCTTTTACTATACAAAAGTAAAACAAAAGAGTTTAAAAGAATTGCTGAGTTTTATATATAAAGATCTTTAAGATATTGCAAATTCTAATCCTAGATTTAACGCGACAAAGAAAGAAAAAGCTTGAAAAATACTGGATAAATGGAAAGTATGCATACTGATAGAGTATAATAAGCTTTTTGTCTGAACAGTGATGAACTTTAGATTCAATACTTAGCGCAAGCTGAAACTTTAGATCCTTCAGTAATAAATTACAGGTTTAATGCTTAATGTAAACTGAGACTTCAGGTCTTACAAGTACAGAACCTTTGGTCTAATACTTCTTTTATTTTATATCCTTTACTTTATATTATTATTATTAAATATTTCTGAAATTACACTAATTATTTTTTGTTTTGTCAAGAACTGAACTGTATCACTAAAGAACTTCAAAAAAGATTATGCACAAATCAAAGTCAATTTTATGAAAGTAAAATAGATAAATCAATTTTCAACTGGAGATAAAGTAACATATAATGACAATTATCAGGAAAAATATTATCAAAATGTGAATACTACATTATAAGATTTAGACACTAAAATCAAAAGATAATAAGGTAAAGCAGCTTTAAAAACACTATAAATAAACTTATATAGACTTTTCTATATATTAGAACGAAGCACTTAATGAAATTGAAGTAAATCTACCTGAAAAAGAAAATATGTATAAGTGGTATTGTCCTTAAAAGTTATTTCTTATATTTTTGATTAACTTATATCACTCATTTAAGTGAGTCTTGAAAAATAAATGCAAACATTTTAGACAACCTGTTTTTGATATCAAATGATACTGATAAGAGAGTGGGTAATGACATTGAAAATGAAGTTGAGGAAGAAAAGTTTAGTAAAAAATTTTCACCTTTATTGTAGCTAAATTCTCTAATCTTTTCTCATTATTTTTGATCTATACAGACTTGAATAAAATATAAAGAAAGTATTAAAGTATTAGATAATGATGATTTTATTGCTAATACAAGTTTAAATAATCCATTTTTAGTATTAAATAATACTAATGAGAAAGCAGGTGATAACATCATTAAAAGTGAAGTTAAGGAAAAGAAGGTTAGTAAAAAAGTTTTCACCTTCATTGCAGCTAAATTCTCTAATATTTTCTCATCATTTTCAGTTTACATAGACTCAAGTGAACTATAAAGAAAGTATTAAAGTATGAGATAATGATGATTTTATTGCCAATACAAGCAAACTGAAATTAGAAGAAGAGAATATATCGGACACTCCTGTCAATGACTTTGAAAATGATGATGTTGTTAATGATAATACACTTGAATTCATATTTTGTTGCTACTGTTTTAGTATTAATACATATATAATCTATAGGTTAATAAGAAGTCTAATGAATATTCAGAATTTACAATATTTGATTGTGTTTAATTTTCAAAACAATATGTTGTCTATTCTACTAATCATATCTTCTTAAAATCAAGACAGTAACTATTACATTCTGCTTAAGACCTTTAACATCTAACTGTTTTATATGTATAGATACAAATTGATAGTCACAAAGAAAAAGTAGAGGCTAAAAAGTTGGATATATATGGAAGATGTGATGTATAAACAGGAAAGTACTGCAATTATCATTAATAAGTGCTATTTATATGTGATTTCTGATGCATAGCATATTAATATTGATTTATTACTGCACTTCAGCCTGATACATTCTTTCATTTTTGATAGTGAGGATAAATTTATCTATTCAGCTTTTACACAAGAAGAACTAGAAGAAATTTATATAACAAATTTGAGAGACTTGTCAGATTTGAAATTGAAACTGTTGAGCTTTATTAGCATATTCACATAAATATGTCTTTTTTTTACTTCTGCATATTTACAACATATGCATTCGCTAATTAAAGTTGAGTTTTCTGAAAGACATCAACAAACAAAATTCATGAAGAGCTTAACAATTCTCATATTAATTTTGAAAAGAAGTACGATCTAAACATTTATTATGCATATGATTATGTTAAAGCTACTGTGATTGATTAGTAAACAATTAAAAGAATTTTGCTATATGTTAGTATATTTTGTTGATTAACCTTTTTTTTAAGGTCAGGCTTATTAAAAAGTTTCCAATCTATTGACGATAATTTGATCAAAAGATTAGTACCATTCTAATATTTAGCGAGCAGTAGATAATGCTTTCAGTGATATTCTATATGTTTTTATAGTTAGGTAAGCAATTTCTTATCCTTATTTTTAATGTGCATATTATTACAGGTTTTATACAGATTAATAATTTTTTTTATTAAGTAGAGAAGTTGGTGGTGTTATAATACATAAATAGAAAAATAGATATAGGATGCTCAGCAACGAGACTCCAATGAAGTGAAGAATAATTGGCAAAAAGTGAGATGGGTTTATTAGATTTGTAGGTTCATAGGTAATAGACTGGATAGTATCAGAGTCTGGATATCACTAGAAAAGGACGAGTAACACAAATTTTATCAAAGAGTCAGGATTTAGCCTTTTATGATAATTAAAAAACATATTTGTTTCACTGGTAAAAAAAGTGAATTTTGATGAAAAAAAATTAGGCAGCTTGATATTCTTGGATTTATTCATACTGATTAGTTTCTTCTTTCTTCCTAAAAGAAAATCTTTTTACTGATATTAAGATTATATTTCAAGTATAATCGTTATGAAAACTAATCTTAAAAACCTTACATCAAAGAATTTCCAAAATCTTTAGATGCACTTGTGACAATTTTATATACTAAGGTTTGTCCTATAATGCCTTGTTACCTATCACATAGTTAAATCTTATGTTTTTTATTTATTTTAACAGGCAATAATGCTGTGTACTATGGAGGTTGTCAAAAATCCAAGAAAAAATTGTGAGAAAGAAGCTTAGGAATGGTGAAAATACTTCAGTAAAGTAAAAGGGAAAGTCAATCATATAGAGCTTGCAGACTTTCATCTCTCATTAAAGCAAAATGAAGAAATCTAAAGAGGGGCTAATCATTATATTAATATAAATGTTTGTAAATATAGGCATTGCTTTATCCAATATTTTTCACATTATACTGTCATCTTATTTTAAGTTTGCATATTTTTTGACTAATAAAATAACAATATCAAGTTAGTATTTCTGAAATAATCATATTTTATTCAATAAAATGGAAGATTGATCTTTATAATTTTCAGTTAAAGAAAAAAATATGGCTAGATAGTTTTATTAATAAGTAAGACATTTATAACCATTAAGATTTTGTTGTTATAATATCGTAATCTTATGATTATTTTTTCTGAATGCAATAAAATTTGACTAGATTGTTGACTGGTAAGGTACACTTTCAGGTAGTGTTGTCATAGGATATTGATGGGCACTGATAGGACGTCAATGAGATATAAATAGAATAGATAGGACCTTTGAAACATAGTAAAAAATAGGTTGAGACATATAGCTGAAACATATAGCTAGAATAACAAATCTCTGAGACATCAAAAATGTACATTACTACTTTCAGGTTAAAAGTATTGAATTAAAAAAAGTTATCATAACTTTTAAATTTAATGACCAATTTTAATTTTTTTTAATTATAAAAAAAATTAATAAGTAAATTTAGATAAATTTTTTTTTTATATTATTCATAAAAACATAAATTTTTATTTATAAAATTAATATTTTGTTGGATTGCCATTGCATCTATTACAGCTTGAATCCTTCTTGGTATACTTCTAAATTTTCTAAAATTTCTGGTTTAATTTCATATCACTTTTTCTTCAAAATAATCATTAATTCATTAAGATTTTTTGGATGTAATTTATGTTTACAGATCTTTCTTTCTAAAACATCCTATAGATATTCAATTAAATTAAGATCAGATGATTGTATAAGTTATAAATATTTATTATTTTATTTTCTTTTATCTATTCTTTAACTGCTTCTACCTAATGAATAGGAGTATTATTATCTTGAAAAATACACTCTAAATTGATTTTCAACTTACCAATAAAGAGTAAAAAATTATTATTAAAATATCAATATACAGAGGATGGTCAAAAGTTTCCAGATACCTTTATAAATACGATTTAAAAAATTTTCATTATATAATTGTAATACCATACTGTGGTCATATGATCGTTAATTGTTTATTTACATAATCAAAATAAAAAAATTCGTGTTGTTTTTGTTATTTTAATATATATCACTTAATCTCTACCAAATCGAAAAATAATGAAACAAAATAAAGAATTAACCAAAGAACAACGCGGAGTCATATTTTACTGCCACTAACGCGGTGACAATTACCAGATTATTGCAAAGATCGTTAACTGCAGAAAATTAACTGTTTGTGATACATTAAAAAGAGCTAGCACCACAGGATCGACTGAATCAATGCCTCACTCTGGACAACCATCCTTGATTACAATTTCTCAACATAATCGCCTCAAATGAATCATTACAAATGATAAAACTAAAAATTGTCATCTTTGTATTGCTGGAGTGCAGCAACTTTGGAAAAAAAAGTCTAAACAAGATGTTTCAACCCAGACTATTAGATGAGTTCTCCATT